GGAACAGAATACTTCTGCCATCAGGGTAGAGGTGCTCCATGCACCTCCAAAGCAACTAGGAGTGCCCAAGCATATACACATTCCACCCCACATAGGCTTCCCTTTCAGAAGGGCTCTGGGTGTTGAGTGCATGAGTATTCGCCATGCTCACTTGATGTGACAAAATGCTCATGACAAGGAGTGTATCTGTGGAAGTCTTTATAGAAGAGAAAGCGGCCCTGAAAGAATACAAGGGCCCCTTTCAAACGTCTCCTTGCACTGCCCATCCAGAATACCCTGCAACTTGACGCAGAGCCTCTCTCTGCTGCTGGGGCCAAGGCAGACGATTCCAAGAGGTCTTGCCGCACCGCTCAGATGACAATTCTTGCTTTCATCCTTCCCTCCGTCGCTGCTGGTGGTGCCTGAAACAGGCTGCTTCACTCACCTCTTGTAGGACAAGGCTGACCTCCCGTCTGTCTAAGCCTGATAACAAGAGAGATGACTTAAAGGTACAGAACGCTTGCTAGCTGGTGCCATCCTGACCTCTGCTGGTGAAAGAAAGCTGCTGCAATACAGTTTTGGAAGCAGAACTGTGCCAGATCTGAACCTACATGCTGGCTGCCTCCAGAGATGTTTTCACATAACACCCACATTATTTGTGCTGAGTGAATTCTATCAACCCACTGCCAGACAAAAAGAGGAGAAGCACTTGGTAAGAAATCAAATGCACATTTTAGATCAGCCATTCTTAATTAGATCCATATGGGCCCTTGGGTAGCCCTGACACATTTGAAGGGTGCACAGACTGGAAACAATTTGGCATGCACCATCCTATAAGGTTCATTATGTGTTGCATAGAATCTTGATCCGCCCTGTATTACTTTCATATTGCATTTATGGCCATGGCCTTAAAAAGGGTGAGAATGGCCATTTTAGATTATGCATGTTTTCAGGTTATAAATCTCAAGAGATTATGGGGGGAAGGTTTCACAACACATATGAAAAGCTCCTCTGTCATTTCAAACCATATAGTGCAGGTGTTGCATTAGGCATCCAGCTGCAATTTGAGCCTGCATCATGTTTGTGAAAATGACATGCAAATAATATCAATCACAGACAACAACTTAGGTTGGAAGAGGCAGTTTATTTGAGTCAAACACCTTTGCAGAATGACTCTTCTGCAAAGCTGACCATTCTGTCATAGATGGCTCTTCTCCTGCTGGAGCAGCATTAGCCTCTGCTGGCCTGTTTACAGCACAACACTCCACAGGAGCCATTCATTGTGTCCAACCCTTTGAAAGAACAAAGAAAAATTCTATACCCATGCAGTTCCAAGTCTGCGCCTGGGCAAATGCATGGACAAAGCAAGCAAATTGAACATATTTGCCAAATATTTTTCATAACTGAGGGATCAACAAAGTGGGGAGGAGGGAAGAGGGAAGATGGGCATGGAAGCCTTCTTCCTGACCAGCAATTGTAAGCCATGTTCTGCCATCTGTCTGGCTTAAGACTTCAGCAGGCATGATGACCCATAAAAAGTCAAGTTCTGTCAGGTCAACCAAGTTGATGCAGGAGCTAAAGGGCTAGAAAGCTACTTTTTAAAGACTAACAGAGATTCTCAGAATCTACAGCTATTGCTCTCTCTCTCTCTGGTCACAGAACTGTAGCCAAATTTTTTTGGGGGGGGGATTTGGTATTTTAGACTTTAATTCCCAGAATCCCCTAGCTAGCATAGCCATGCTGGCTGGGGGATGTGGAGAGTTGCAGTGGAAGAACATAATTTCCCCCAATGGCTGGTTGAAAGCATACATCCGGTCCCAATGTTGTGCATGTGGGTTTTTTTTCACAGGGATGTTGGCAAGTCTTTCGGTCTGAGTCCCAGGGCCAAGTTTGAGTCTTTGGTCGTTGTTGTCATTTAGTCGTGTCCAACTCTTTGTGACCCCATGGACCAGAGTACACCAGGCCCTCCTGTCTTCCACTGCCTCCCGGAGTTGTGTCAAATTCATATTGGTTGCTTCGCAGACACTGTCCATCCATCTCGTCCTCGGTCGTCCCCTTCTCCTCTTGCCATCACACCTTCCTAACATCAAGGTTTTTTCCAAGGACTCTTTTCTTCTCATGAGATGGCCAAAGTACTGGAGCCTCAGTTTCAGGATCTGTCCTTCCAGTCAGCACTCAGGCTTGATTTCCTTTAGAATTGATAGGTTTGTTCTCCTTGCAGTCCAGGGGCCTCTCAAGAGTCTCCTCCAGCACCACAATTCAAAGGCATCAATTCTTCCACGGTCAGCTTTCTTTATGATCCAGCTCTCACTTTCATACATCACTACAGGAAAAACCATAGCTTTGACTATTCGGACTTTTGTTGGCAAGGTGATGTCTCTGCTTGTTGGCAAGGTGAGTCTTTGGTACCTGGTACCAAGTCCTGTAACTGGGTTCCGTGTCTAGCTGCGCTGGCCACGTGACCACGGAAACTGTCTATGGACAAACCCTGGCTCCATGGCTTGGAAATGGGGATGAGCATCGCCCCCTAGAGTTGAATGCGACTGGACAATTGTCAAGGGGAACCTTTACCTTACCAAGTCCTGAGTCCCAACTATGAGCTCCTGTTAAAAACAAGGTTTTTTTACCCAGAAAAAAGGGCAGGTTGTCTGGGTTCCAAGTTGCAAGTTAAGTGAGTCATCGAAAGAAAAAAATGAGTCACCAGTGTGACTTAGGTCTGACTTGACAGTAAGTCCCATGACCCGAGTCCCTGTTTCCCCACCCTCCCATATCCTACCAGCTTCTCTCTGAAAAAAAAAAGGCCTAGGGATAACCATTCTGATTCTCATTCCTCCTCCGCATTTGCAATATGAAAAAGTCTCTTGCTCCCCTCTTCCAGAAGTAGCATGTCATGCAGTACTCAAGTCTGATTTCAGAAGAACTCTAGACATGATTAGGTCAGACCTCAGGAAAGAATAAGCTCTAAGTCCCTCAGCATACAACTGGGTGAAAAGAGAAAGGAGGAGAAGGGCTGGAACCAACCTGCTTTTGGCTCTGGTCCTGCCCACTGCCAGCATACAACCTCCAATATATTGGCCTAGAAGGAATCCTTGAGAAAAAAAGAGTAAGCTACCCCTGCCATCAAGTTCATCAGTTCTAAGACACACATACACACACACACACAATGTGTAGAGACACTCTGAGAGGGCAAATTTCCCTTTGCTCTGCACAAAATGAAACAGCGCCTACCCAGTCCCACTAACAAGCAAAGTGCTTACTGAATTAAAAGTGTGGCTATTATTCCCTCAGCCCATTTTACCTACATTAGGAAAACAAGTAGTACATTTGATTAACTGCAAAATTACATTTCATCTTGTATGTTTTGGGTGAAATAACAGCCATGTAACACTCTGCCCATATTCCATGTATACCATGGAGTAACAGGACACAAGGAAACAATCAAGCACGCGCCCTCTGTCAACTTTCTCATGTTAATCTAGGTCTCTGAGAAGCACTGAAACGGCTCTTCCTGCTCAGAGAAATTATCCACCTGCTTATGGGAAGGTCAACAGAATTCAATTACCATTTTTTTGGTATACAGTATTATGATTGTGAGAAATCACACCACATAAAAAGTGGGGAAAACAAACAAACAAGAATCTAATGGTTGTTGTGGGTTTTTCGGGCTCAGGAATCTGTTATCTAAAGCAATAAGTAGGTTCTTGCAAGAAAAATATTGGAGACAAATTCCATTGAAATGAAAATGCCTAACTCCACTAGAAATCCCAAGAATGTCCTCAGATGTACAGTGTTTAAAATGACATGTTTTTCAACAAACTATGCAGATTGCTGGAGAGCAACATTTTATTCTTGTCCTGAACTCTTCAAAATGAGGTTATTTTGCTTCTGACCAGGCATTAGGAAACTGAGTGAACAAGTCCAACACAATAGTAATTGGGTTATTTCTACCTTTTAAATTAGCTTTTGTGTTTTGTCATCTTATTTTAAATATATACACAATCTAGAAACTGATGAACTGTCCAGAGATTTAAAACATCCTGTTGCCTTTTCCAACTTTAAAATACTTCTGGCTCTTTTTCACTCTTTAGTAACTGGGATGACTGAAGACAAAGTGCATACCCTCAAGCCTCAATGAGCAAGATACTCAGACTTCTGTCAATGAAACACGTCTCCTAGTTTATTCAAAGATTTTTAATAACCTTCCCATTAACAAATATATTGCAAGACATGTCTGGCAAGTGGCAGAGGATAACTGGAGAGTCCATTTCGTGCATCTCCAACTAGGGATCCAGTAAGACTGAGTCTGAATGTAAGAGGCCCATCACTATGACATTTCTTCCAGTATTGTGATAATACAAGCAAAGATTTTTTGGGGGGGGGAGCAACTGTTAGTCTGAGAAACAGTACCAGCGAAGACAGATAGCTCATTTGTAACTCCCCGTCCTTTAATACTGTTATTGTTCCCACTGAAGCATGGAAGAAGTCTGAGGATAATACTGTATTATTTACTTATTTGTGTAACACATTTACATCCCACATTTTTCTCCAATGAACTCATGACTTTCTTTCAGCCAGTGAGCCTCGTGGCGCAGTGGTTGAACTGCTGTACAGTAGCCAAAACTGTGCTCACGACGTGGGGTTCAATCCCAGGTAGCCCGCTCAAGGTTGACTCAGCCTTCTATCCTCCCGAGGTCAGTAAAATGAGTACCCAGCTTGCTGGGGGGGGCAATGTGTAGCCTGCATAATTAACTTGTAAACCGCCCAGAGAGTGCTTGAAGCGCTATGGGGCGGTATATAAGCAGCACGCTTTGCTTTGCTTTTACAACAACCCTGTGAGGTCAGATGAGGAGAGAATGACTGGCCCAAAGTCACCCTATGAGTTTCACGGCCAAGTGGTGACTTGAACCTTAGGTCTACTAAGTTCCTGCTCAACATTTTAATTAATACATCACAAGGGCAGATCTTAACCTTACACTTCGCAAAAAACAACACAACACTTAGGGTCTACAGGTTACACTTACCAAAAGCCTTCTGGGGCTCAGTGAGTTTCAATGTGAAAGTTCGGCCTTTGGGCAAGTCCTTCAGCATTTTGGCGACCTCATAATGCCTACAGCCGATGAGACTCTGGCCATTGATGGATTCTATCATGTCCCCCACATTGATGACTTTGATCCGGTCAATAACACTCCCTTCCTTGATTCTCTGCCAACAACAGATGGGAGTAGTCATTACACTAATTTAGATCAACTCACTTACTGATCCCAGAGACACAACCTACCTTGAAAATATCAAAAAGTAACACCGCCAAAAAAGAAAAGTATATCATCATAGAGGAAAGCTCCTACTTAGCTCTGCCTCGTTCAGCCATTCTGACTCACCTCCTTGTGCGAATGACATCTGTCAGCCTATTTGGGGGAAGGTATTACGTGTGGACAGGGTGGCGCTGCAGGCTAAACCGCAGAAGCCTTTGCGTGCTGCAGGGTCAGAAGACCAGCAGTTGTAAGATCGAATCCACGCAACGGAGTGAGCTCCCGTCGCTTTGTCCCAGCTCCTTGCCAAACTAGCAGTTCGAAAGCATGTAAATGCGAGTAGATAAATAGGTACCACCTCGGTGGGAAGGTAAAACGGCATTCTGTGTATAGCCGCACTGGCCACGTGACAACGGAAACTGTCTTCGGACAAACACTGGCGCTATGGCTTGGAAACGGGGATAAGCACCGCCCCCTAGAGGCGGACACGACTGACTAAAATGTCAAGGGGAAAATTTACCTTTACCTATTATGTGTGGATGAGAAAAAGACACTGCAATTCATGATAAACCAAACTAAGTGCAGAATTATTGTTCTATTGAAGGCTTTCAGAATACTTTTCTATAGTTTGCCAATGGGTGTGCCCAAATCAATCTTGTGGTCTTCTGCTTTTGTTCTTACATACAGCCTGCCATTTCTTTCTGTGGTGACTGTCGCCCATGTCAGGCTTCTGAGTGAAATGAACCAGCAGCAATCAGCAGCAAAGAACGAAGCTGACTGTTGAGAATGTTCACGCCTCTGCCCCATATCCTTCTGCCCATTTCTCCATTAAGCTCTATTATGATCCAACAATGTGGGCACACATTGTATATTCTGCTCTGATTCAACATTGAATCCGCAATCCTCCTGAAGATCATGAATCATTATTATGCCTATATTTCTAACTGACTCACAGTGCCTGTGAACACTGGCCCAACCAGTCTGGCATCCTGTTTCCGGAAAAAGCAGTTATTAAATACCTTACAAGTGGCACACCACCACCTACCAAGCACAGTTCTACTCCTGGAAGCAGGTAAGAAGAGAACAGCTTCTGGATTACCAGATGCTTCACACTAGAGTACTATCCTAATTCTCTGAATCTACCTCCTTCTTGAACTACATTTCTCAGGCAGACTGCCCACATGCTACAAGAAGTTATTAGGATTCCTACTCTTTGTGTAAAAAATTAGTTTCTGTGGCATTTTGCCTGTGAGAGCAGAAATCTATGATGTTAACATAAGAACGTAAGAAAGGCCCTGCTGGATCAGGCCAAGGGCCCATCTAGTCCAGCTCCCTGTATCTCACAGTGGCCCCACTAGATGCCTCTGGGAGCACACGAGACCACTGGATTGCTGTCTCCTGATAGCCCTCCCCCTGCATCTGGCATTTTGAAGGACCTTCCTTTGAAGCCTGGAGATTATACATACCCATCATGGCTTGTAACCTGCGATGGACTTTTCTTCCAGAAATCTGTCCATCCCCTTCTAAGGCATCTAGGCCATATGCCATCACCACATCCTGTGGCAAGGAGACCCACAGACTAACAACATGCTGGGTAAAGCAATATTTTTTTTGTCTCTTCTCACTCTCCCAACACTCAATTTGAGTGGATGTCCCCTGGTTCTAGTATTGTATGAGAGGGAAAAGCGCTTCCCTCTATCCACTTTATTCACCCCCTGCATAATTTTATATGTCTCAATTATGCCCCCCCCCCAGGCACCTTTTCCCTAGACCAAGGGTTTCCAAACTACGTCCCATGCACCACATCCAGCCCAGTTTGCCTTTTTATCTGGGCGGGAGGATGGACAGGGGGGTTGGGGCATGCATGCATGCAGGCAGGCAGGCATACGCACATGTTCTCAAAAAATTGGCAAATATATGATGTGGCCCTCACGGTGAAAAGTTTGGAAACCCCTGCTAGAGACTAAAGAGCCCCAAACGCTGTAGCATTTCCTCATAAGGATAATCATGACCGTTATCTATGGCCCATGTGTATCAGGATGGCATGCTTTAGCACGTAATATAATGGTTATACAGATTACATAGAGAAAGCAACTATAGGTGTTTCCTGATATAAGCAACCCCTCAGGAAGTGTAGCCTGCTGAAGAAAAATAGGGCAGACAGGTAACTAGAACTAGAGAAAGTGTATTACTGAGGAGGGCAAGCTTTCATAATTGCTAAACCAAAACAAGCAGGCAACACTGACTTGGGAAATTCTGCTTCACAGGGTCTACTTAAGCAACAAAATTTAAAAATGCTTATTTAAAAAAACTAGAACAGCAGAAGTCTGCAGGTTGTATTCACTCTGGGGTTGTCTTGTCCCACTTTTAACAGGGCAAAGACTGTACCCTCTTTCAGATCACCCTGTGACAATACAGTCATTTCCTCTAAGACAGAGAGGCAGATTTACAAAAGCGGAACACTGTGATTATCTATTAACTGCACAGTAGTTATTGTGATGATTTTTGATTATGTGACATGAAGGCTGCCTCTCTGCTCAAATGTGCAAGACTGATCTTTCTATCACTAGCCTCATGTCCCCCTCAGAAAACACACACTGTGCTTCTCCAAAGAGTTTCCAACCGTTTTTGACATAACAGGAAGTTTTAAAGACCAATCCCAGGCCCATAATTTATTTATGGCAAATGAGCATTTATGGCCATGCAGGCAGACAGTGCCTCTAACTAAAGGGGAGCAGAGGATGAAAGAGGGCACACTGTTCTCTGTCAGGGCTGCACTGGCAACAGGTTCAACATACTTAACATGGCACAAGAGGAAGCAGGTATGGGCTGGGATTTGCAATCTTCTGCCCTTGGTGCAGGCTCAGAACCATGGAAGAAAAGAGAGATTCAGCATTTTAAAGAATTTAAGTAGCCAATTCTTAAATTATGCCCCAATTGTATCAAGAGGTCATTACAAACATCCCAAAGAGGATTAGGCTTTAGCAAAGCTGGATTCCTCAGAGTTACAGCTCTGTTCTAAATGCTTAGGACAAGGCTGGGAAAACTTTTAATGTCAAGAGCTGTATTGCCTCAAGGATAATCTATCAGGGTGTGGAGCTGCGCGTCAGTGGGGTCCAGGGGCAAAACCAAAGGATGACCCTTTCCATCTCACAGCCAGTCCATCTTTATTTCTTCACCCATGTGCCAACAACAACGAAGTCTTTCCTCAGTCCTTTTTCTTAGGGGAGTCCCACATCAGTTTTGGAAGCAGCCTGAACTGTCCAGTTACAAAATGCAACATGAAATTAGGATGAGGGTTCAAAATTGGCCACCACTGATCTGAAAGCACATCCTATCTGGAACAGAATTCCAGGTACCTCTTTTTATTTTTTCTAAGGAAAAACTAATAATTTCTAGTCTTCAAAGTTCCTGCAAATGATATGGATAATTAAAACAGGAATGGGGTGAGACTGATGATGGAACAGGACAGATTCCTATACTTCATATACAGCTGCATTAAACAGTGCCTAGCCAGCTCTGTCAATCCATTTATCTCTATGATCACCATCTCACAAATGATCTCTGACAGGAGGAATAACTTAGGGTCATAGAATTATAGAACTGCAGAATTCCAAATGTCATCCAGTAAATCTGCAGCTAAAACATTTCTGACAGATGGGCATCCAAACACTAACCTACAGCAAAGAAGAATCCACCACCTTCTGAGGTAACCCAGTCCACCGTCAGATAGTGTTTACCGTTCTGAATGCCCACACATAGGCTGAAATCTAGTTACTTATCACAGTGAGTTGCAACCAGAGTAAGCCCATTGAATCAGTGGGGATTTGCTGAGTCAACTCCTCCATAAACTCCAATAATTCAATGGGCTGACTTCAGCTATAATTTACTATGATAAGAAGATTTCAGCCCATGACTCTTTTACCTAGATTTTTTAACATATCAAAACAACACATTTTCATTATTAAAAAGCTTACTTACACACATACACACAAGCTTTTAAATAATGAAGATGTATTAAAACATCATGTTTTGTCCAGAAAAGGTCTGAGGCATATATACTCTGGAATTATGTGCATTATGAAACTACTTGGAAGGAATAAAAAGCCTTCTTAATCAGAATGGGAAGACAACAACTTAATCAGAGTGAGAAGGGGGGGAAGAGTAATTGACCTTTTCTAGAAATGGCTGCGCTTGAACTCACTATTTCAGTAAAATCCTTTTGCCCTCAGAAGGCTCACTGAATGAGGATTATGGATAAGCACTAGTCATAATACCCTTCTCAAGAAAACTACTCTTAATAGATAAGGGGGGTGTTGTTACATAGCCTGTCTGAAGCTGAGAGATGAGGCAGGATAGCACAAATACCATAAAAATAATTAAAATGCTGAAAAAGTTCCACAGGTGGAAGCTCTTATCTCCCAACAGCCAGCAAGAATTCAATGTTTAAAAAAAAATGAATCAGGATAAAGTGGGGCTACCCTCAAATACCTTGATGAAAGCATAGCCAGCACCGTTGTCAGTGATGGTCAACCCAAGGGCCTCCTCAGATTTGAACACATCAACCTCCTTCCTCTGGCCTTTTGTATGGGCAAAGATAAAGTCTTCCAGGCCAATCTGGCCACCCAACAATTTGTCCATGTCCACTTTGTGGGTATTTAAGGTACAGAACATCACCTAGAAGTATTCAGAGAGAAGAAGAGAGAATCAGATGCTGCAGACACCTTAACTGCTGTGTAATATTTGGCTCAACAGATGCAGTGGGACTACACCTTCAAAAATATGGGGCATAGATGCTTTGTGCCAGTGGTCTTTAGCTGATGTTCACAGACATTTCCCCACACAAAGGCAGACACACCTAAATCGTGGTGCCACCCCACACGGTCAACCAGGTGCAGAACCTTCCTAACGCTAGAATGGGTATTGCAGTGTGCTTACCTCAGCTGGTGAGATTTTAAAGGCCTCTGCAATTTTACTGTATAACTCCTTCACATTGGTGAAGCCCTCAATCCGGCCAGTAGGACTTCCATGGGCAAGCTGAGTGTGGAATACCAGGCGAGGGCGAAGACTGGCTGGGGGAGGGGGAAGGCCTGGCTGAAGGGTTGCCACACTGCCAACACTGCCTACCCCCACCCCACCCAGGCCGCTACGGATGGGCTCAGCTTCCTCATTCTCCACCAGTGGAGGGGCCTTCTTCCGACGACCTAGTCCAAGCGGCATGAGGGAGATGTGGCCAGGTAGCAGTGAGGGTCGGTCACCCAATATATGGATCTGGAGGTAGAAAAGGCACACAGAATCAATAACATGGAAGCCCTGTAGGTCATTTGAAATGATAAACAGATTATAAAGCAAAAGCAATAAGCAGGCTCTGGAAAAAGGCATTGCCTACTAGGGAATATGTTTTCAACACAATACAGTACCTAGATCTAGGAAAGAGAAACTTTGACTAGATAGGTGCAGAACTTTTCTCCCCAGAACATAGCAGTTCTATGCCTGTGGCCTCAGGTTAGGTTGATTCACTTTATAAGTGAGCAGGTATAGCAGCCTTACAAATAAACTCACACAATCAAAATATTACCAGCCTGCTGTCTATACATATCGTTTGGGACACACCAATCGCTTAAAAGGAAGAAGTGAAAAACTCTTTTGAAAGTTTAAATGCGCTACAGCTTCACCATCTATTCAACCAGACCAGACAAATTACTACAGGAGAGTTGCTTCTTCGGAACATACAGTATTGTCCCCTTGCAGAAAATTACAGGCTTATGTAGGCAAGCAACCATTAGTGAATGCAGCTCACAACCACATTTACATCTTTGAACACAGCTTAACTTGCTTCATCTCACACACGTTAAGTTCCATAAAAACATAATGAGGGAGTGGGTTAAGGGGAAACTAGGTAACTACATTGTATTGGGGGAGGTGCACGCATGTGCTCTACCCTGTTTCCCCTAAAATAAGAACTAACCTGAAAATAAGCCCTAGTAGGATTTTTCATGATGCTCATAATATAAGCCCTACCCCCAAAATAAGTCCCAGTTAAGTGAAACCCCGCCCTCCACCATTGTGCAGCAACCAGAAGATGACATGACTATTCAAATAACATAGATTGTACATGAAAAAAATAAAACATTCCCTGAAAATAAGCCCTAATGCATTTTTGGAGCAAAAATTAATATAAGACCCTGTCTTATTTTCAGGGAACCAGGGTACTTCCTATCAGGCTTTTTTACTTTTAAAACTTTTATACTATTATCGGCTACATTTTATTTAACACAACAATGAACAATCAACTACACAAATTTCACTGTGACCATAACACAGGAAAACAATACTAATGCAATTTCCAAAAATGTTTCTTTCAGAGTCAGAAAAATGTTGAAGCTACAAGGAAAACCTGCTTCCTCCCCTCATTTTTTATTTTGGAGAAAAATATGCAACGCTTAGCATCTTTTACAGCTCTTAGGTTTTTGTGTGTGTGTGTGTAAGTTCATAAAGAAAGAGAAATAAGAGGTATTGTATCAGGATTGGGAAAAGATGAAGCAATAAATGAGCTGGGGCAGAGCCATCCTGCAGTTTTGCTCATATAAGTCAATTCATAGTCCCCCCCCCTCTCTCTTTCTCTACATTTCCCTCCCTTCTCCCATTCCCTTGGAGCCCTGTTCCCCAGGCAGCTATAAGGCTTTGAAACAAAGCATCCATTGGAGCTAAAGAGTGCTTCTTTCACAGCCTTACTGCACAGTTGAAGGGGGATTTTAAGGGGGTTGCACTGCCAATTGAGCCCTTTAAAATGCTCCAAAGCCCCCTGTGCCTAAAACTCCTCAAAACAGTAATCTGGCTTTTAAATTAGAACCTAATGTTGATCCGAGTGGAAGCTTTTTTTAAAAAAACGATTGCTATCAGGAGTTCAGGTCAATGAAGGGGAGCGAGCCACCAACAAGATTTGTGGGAGGCAGGCCATATCCAGCAGTTTGTTCACACCAATGCCATAGAAATAACTTTCACTTCATTTAGATATACAGTATAATATTTTTGAATTGATTTATTTCACATGTCTTACTTCACAGTAATCAAATGTGAACGGAAAGTGAATTCTATGAACATGTGATCTCTTCTCTTGCAGATTCTGTTCAGAGTCTCGTCTTTGTCCAAAGGTGAGGTCTTGAGAAGAAAAACCTCACTCTTCTTTTCTTTCTACTTTTTATTTATTTTTCTCCATGTTTTACTTATTTTCCCACATCACAGGGCATTTATAATGCCATGGGTATTTCAGGAATCTAATAGGGGAGCAAACATTTCTATCTTCTGGCTACAACACTTGATTTCAGCATAGCAGAAGCCTCTATCCAAGATTAAATCTCTGTCTGAACCCAGAACTCTTCTTTGCTCTACAATGTTCACATCTATAAACATTACAAATATTTACAGGTCCAAGTATCCTTCCTTAAAGACTGACTAAACCCAACAAGGAAAGCCATGAAGTAAATACAATCAGATAAACATGTAGATGTTCCAATGTTGTTCTTGTACTGTAGTTCTAAATGTGAAAGAGAAACACATTCCTCAATGCCTGGGCTGGAATGCACATGTAAACTGAAATGCTGTATTACTCTAGAATCAAAGCCTCCTACCAACTAGACAAACATACCAACAAAGTGCCCTAGTAAATCCTTCATTTCTAAGGCTCTGGTTCCCTCTTAAAGAGAAGGAACTTTAGGAAATGAGCAGGGCCACAAGGCCTCTCTCTGTAGATCAGATACGGTATGAGAACGCACAAGTAGAGGGCACAGGCACAACAGGAGCCCTTCCAGTCCGTCTCTGTTCTGGGATCAGGGTGGAGCAAGTTGATTCAGAGCAGAGAAACTGGCCACAGGGAGTTCCCTAGAGAGGGTGGGGACAGCAAGGGAATTCAGCCAAACACTGTGTGCTTCACAATAAAGGAGAGCAGAGCCAAACTACAGGGCGCAACACTTCCCAATCTAAGTATTACTCTCTTCTCTGATACCACCAGAAGCAGCTATTTTCAAAGAAGCATTCTGTCTTGTTTCATACTGCCAATTCCATTGCGGTCCAGCTCATCATATCATTTTCTACTACCAAAAGCCATTGCACTACTTTAAACTTATATCCCTCCCTCTTGGCATCTCTCCCAAAAGTCTGCTACAGCACTTTGACCCACTTTTGACCAATCTAAGTCCTGATTTCACTATATTCTTATCCTTGCTGTCATTTCAAAGAACTGTTCAGGAGATAATTCAACCCTACCAAGACAGTAGGCATTTACCGGCCTTCAAATTAGCTCTAAATGCTCGTTTCTTGCCAAGAGCCAAGAATGTTAGATTTTAATTTGTCTAGACAGCAGACATACAAAAGACAAACAGCTGACAGCTCCCACCATAAAAGAAGTACAATAGGGAATATATTATTTTATACGATAAAGCATAATGAATATGTGATGTACAACTTTAAATTTACAAATTTAATCTTTATTGTAAAATGAGTTCATTTGTAAATCTAACAGTTCAGATTTGAACTACTATGAAACACCACTAAGATTTCAAAAGTTGGCTTGCTTAAAGCACTGTATATTTTGGGGGAAAGCCAGATAACTTCAGAAATCTGTTCTATAAATTCCTCGTATACAGTACTGTAGCTCGTTGCTAAGGTTTGTTGACGTTCTGTTGTGAAGTAGGGACTTCTGTATAAGACCACTAAGATGCTAAGCTTTAAGTAACCAGAGAACTTAAACAGATCCACAACAAATCCACTGCATTATGACAGGAATTACTTCATCTATACCTAAACAATACGAAAGTGTATTGCCAAGCTTCTTTTTAAAGCTTCCTATGGCAATGCCATAGGAAATCAACTTTGAGGGCTCACTGGAAGGACAGATCCTGAAGCTGAGGCTCCAGTACTTTGGCCATCTCATGAGAAGAGAAGACTCCCTGGAAAAGTCCCTGATGTTGGGAAAGTGTGAAGGCAAGAGGAGAAGGGGATGACAGAGGATGAGATGGTTGGACAGTGTCATCGAAGCTACCAACATGAATTTGACCCAACTCTGAGAGGCAGTGGAAGACAGGAGGGCCTGACGTGCTCTGGTCCATGGGGTCATGAAGAGTCGGACACGACTTAATGACTAAACAACAATGGCAATGCCCATCACCTCACTAGACAACTTGTCCCATACAGTCACTGGTTTTACAGCTATAGATTCACTTGCAAAAAATCTACAAAAGCTGTCATTTCCTGCAATTAAATGCACTACTACTCAATTTTAATTTATTTATTTGGCTTTTTAACATTAAAAATGCATCCACTTGCTGAGATGCAATCTCTTGTTGAGAAACATATTTATATAGTCTTCACCTGTCCTCTAACACTCCAGTCCTATACACACGTTTATCTGGAGGTGCCCAAGCTGACCTACTCCTAAACTAGGATTGCAGGCTGTACTGGCCAGTTCATTAAGGTCTAATGTATTAGGTGTTCTACTCCTGCAACAAAGACTACACAAGTCAACTATCATTGGTCAATGTGGTTCCCATTTTGACTTATCGTGCAATATGCTAGCGAAAGTGTTTCATGGGTAGTACTTCTGCCTTGGCACAACTGTAGCTACTCCACAGGATTTCAGCCATTTTGCTTCATTCTAAAGAAGGCTAGGAGGACAAAGTAGTAAAGAAATAACAAAGATTGACAAAACAGCAGCAAGGAGGAGTAAGGTCTTGTATATATTAAATAATAATAATTGTGTACAATCAAGCCAGTACTGGCATGCGACCCTGTTAGAGGTTTTCTAGGTAAAGAATACTCTGGTGTTGTTCCTCATTTCCTTCTTCTGGGGGCACCTTGAAGTTGTGCTGATTGTCCAAGGTCACACAAGCTGACTCTTCTGGAATGCATGGTGGGGGAATTGAACTCCTACCCTCTGGCTCCTCAGCCAGCTACCTAACTCACTTAGCTATGCAGTCAGCTACCTTGTACTGTATATTACCCCTCCATACCAAAACTAATACTTGGAGAAAGTTAACTATTGTTTCAAATACCTGGTTCAGAATACAGTATTAAATGGGTTTTTTTAAAAAATTGCCCTTTTTTCAAAACAAGAGACCATGATTACCTTTCCAGGAGGTAGTGGTGCTAATCTGCTGCACCACAAAGTCCTGTGTCATCTTTAAGATTAATGATTAGATGGTGGCTTACACTTATGTGGACTAATGTATGACCCCAATTACCGTCAAATCCTTATCAACTGAAGTATGGACTAGCTATGCTTCCTAATACTATAAGCATATTATGACAGACTGTGCCTATATTCTAGGCCAGTAAAGCTCATGCAAGCAATGCTGACATCACCAATATCATTACTATGAAGGAGTGGAGGAGACATGTTTTTGAAAACAAGCTATTTTCCCCCTAGAGTGATAGAAACGTCTGAAGAAAGAAAATATAACTGGACATATCTTCAGAGCTTTTCGTTTTTGCTTGCTGGAGTCAACAAGGAATGATAACGAATTGTGTCTCTTGCTGCAGTGGGTGCAGTTTCCTGCCTCAGGAAGTGGTGACCAGTGACCTCTTGGTGAGAGGTGAATAAGGGTCTAGAGACACCAGGTGGGAAAAAGAGCATAAACTGGCTGGTCTATGAGGAAGGGTGGGCTGCTGTGTATCTGCATGGAATGGGCACCTCATATTTCACTATTAATATATATAATGACTTAAGAATATGCACCAAAGGCACCCATATTCTGTCATCAGAATAAATGATAGATACCTCCCTAGATTTTCCAGGTTACGAATATACTGGTAGTAAAATTCCAGATTTCACGGATTTTGCAATATTTTATAAAAATGTAGAAAAAGAAGCAATTGTTGAAAAGACCAGCAGTGATGGAGGTAGGAAATGGTGGCCACAGAAGAAGAAATATATATATGAGGCATTTAAATAAATGCTTTTAGAATTTTTATATATAAAAGGTATTCACCTGGTGCAAAAACAAACAAACCAACCCTGCAGCTGCCATGTGAGCCTCTCTGGATAGGGCACTGCACCAGCAAGGGACCATGACAGAAATGTCTTCCTTCTGTAGCCACCCTTCTCAACCTGTTTGGTGGGAATATCTGGAAAAGGTGTGGATAAAGAACCTAGGGTCCAGACAAATAAACATGGGAAATGTCAATCCTTTAGCTAAACTGTCCTGTGCTGCCCAACGCTTTACAGGACAGAAACAGCACTGCGAACTTCAAAACCCAGAGATTCTCAAGTGTCAGATGCCACATCCCTGATGTGTGCTCAGTTATCAGGTTTGAGGCAGCTCTGGCTGCAAGTTAAGCCTAGTAAGTACAGGGGGCCTGCTTTATATCCTTTTGCCTAAGGTCGAGTTAGGGAGTAGACTGTATGCCCCTCAGTGATGTAAGCAAGAAGGTGAGCTAATCCAGCCTGTCAAGGCTGACATGGAAGGAATAGTCAACTGTTCCAGAGAAATAGGCCACCGATGATGTTCTAATTTCTGAAGAGAAAGAACCCAGTTGTTACAACAACAAAAGAGGGAGACCCTATTAGGCCCAAAGCCAACACTTTACAGATCCAAGCACGATCCCACAGCAGCACAGAGAAACAGCTTATTGAACCAGTAGAAAACAGACAAGGAGATCTGTCCCATGCACTGGGCAAGAGACAAATTAACATACACAGCATTTAGTTTTTTTCTGTTTACAACTTCCCACAAAACAGCAATGCTGACCACAGAGAAGGGATATTAAATATATTCAGAAAGACAGGAAAACCAGTTTCCTCTGCTGCTAGACATCTGGGTGTTGCTAGCAAATTATCCTCAACACCTACTCTACAATTAAAGGAAAACAAAGGTCAATATCAGTGGTGAAACTAACCCTTCTCTGACAGAACCTAAAGGGAATCTGCTAGGATACTCTCCCAGTCTCTTGCAATAAGGAACAACTTGCATACAAAACCAGAAAATACATTTTAAACAAGCAGCCTTTGAAACAACCACTTGTTAAATCTTTGGATCATAAAACACAGATTTCCAAAGAGTTTCAGTCTGTGTAACAAAAACAAAAATATTGTGGCACCTTTAAGACTAACAGATTTATTTCAGTATGAGCTTTCATGGATTACAGTCTGCTTCCTCTGACACACAAGAACACAATATTTAGGCCACAGATTTGTCTACAGCGTGTACAGAGGCTAAATACCCAAACTGAGTTATCTCTAATTAAGAAAATGCCCTAACATTTCACTCCTCAGAAATTAATTCTGGCGGGAAGAAGGACTTGTGTTTCAAATCCTACTCTTCTCCCTAAGATCAGCAGGAAAGAGAGATGATAAACTCCCTGGACAATTTAGGAGAACGTAGTAACTTCGTTACACTCCAAAGTTCCAATTAAAGAACCGAGAACGCCGGCTCCCGTTCCAACTGACGCTCCTTGAGGGCGAAACGTCTCGCGGGGGCAACGACACCTTCCTTCGTATTCTGTATCCAAGCAACTTCGGCTACGGTTTGGTACATGTGCAAACAGGCAGGAAGCTTCTTCCCGCAGGGTGGGGGCGGGGAGAGAACGCTGGATGCCCGGACACCTGGGTTCTTTTCCCCACCATCAGGTGAAGTTCAGATTTCCTTGCTTATAAGATAGCAAACAAAAATCACCCCCCCCCCCAGCATCCGAATCCCATTTGGGCAAAGGCAGCCGGCCGCCCTCTCACCGCGGCGCTGTCCTCCTCGCCCGCCGCGCGTCCCTCCCCCGCGTCTTACCCTCGTCCGTTTCCTCGCCGGGCCCGTCCCTCAGCCAAACTACAGCCCCAGCCCAGCGAGGCCTGTCCGCCCCCCTCCGCCCAGTAGGGGGCGGGCCCCAACGCCGCGCCTACCATCCAACCGGATCACACTTCGCATACTTCCTCGACGAATCACAGTTGACTCCGCTAAGGCGGAACATTCCTGGTCTTTCACACCAAGTCACTCCTCCCTTCCCTGTCAAGGTGCGATAGCAAAAACAGGGCAGGGTGAGGAGCAGAAACACGGAGGAATGGAGCATACCATCCTTGAGAAGTTGGGGGGGGAAATGAATCGAACGTATCCTGAAAAGCCACAGAGATATCACCCCTACACAGTCACCACCATTACGTGGCTCCACCCCCCCGCCTGAAGATTACGTTTGGTTCGTGTTCCCATAGCGTTCTGTTAGCCAGTTCTGTCGCTACGGAGTCGTGGAACCGAGAGGGCGGGCGGCCTTTCTCGCTTATCCGGTGCGTGCCGTGAAGGAGCAACGCAGGCATTATCATTCCGACTACGCCGAATTGGCTTTTCCATCCGTTTCTCGGGGTCTACCGTTCACCGACCGAGACTTGTATTTTGATACAAGCGCTGGTTACCAGAGCGTTGTAAAATCCATATGAACAGAATACGTCAGCGCCTGGGTGCAATAAGTCCTGACATGAAATAAGGGAAGTTCTGCAGATACCCGGGTTTGGCCTGGGCTAACTCCAGGAATGCTGGCTTTGAGAACAAGAAAGGCAAAAATGTATAGGCCACTTCCAAAAATGTCATTCCGAGTACAGGACTTCTCTGTAACCAGCTTGCCCTCCTTTCTTCTCTGCATTCAAAGACGGACAGACTCCCAAATAGCTTTGAGCCCCTGGAGTGGGGGGAAAAAAGCAAGTCAAACCACCAGCTCTTATTAACTACGTACACTACAAATAACATGGACTCGTAACTGACTTGTAGTAACCTTCCAACATAAGTGAGTTATCTAAGGAGTAGTTTTATCAGTTCTGCTCCCTCAACGACCTTCCGTGGCAGAGCTGGAGATTCAAACCCAGGCCTCCTGAGTCCTAGTCTATTATCACGTTATCCACTACACCAGGTTGGGTGGGTATCTCACAATTTTTTCTTGTTCCATTAAGTGATGCAATGCTTCAGAGATTGCTTACCAGAGTCTTAAAAGAGATTTCACTTTCCTTGCCCCTAGGTGGAGAAGCAAAATAAGGGTTCGATTTGCCAATATTGGCTTGCTTATTAAGCCACTTCATGATATTGGAAATTCCAATCGGAAGGAGGCTCAATAGCCAGGAAGGTTTGGTTTTGATCTATTTCTAGTGACCCCACATGCCGGAAAGGAACTAAAGCAGAGCAATCTTACCCAAACTGAAAAAAAATTAGAAACCTTTGACAGGCTCAGAAAAATGTGAGTAGGACTCCTTTAAGGATGTTTTGGTTTGCTCCAGTGATTATGTAATGTGATTCCCAGAAAAAAGAGCAAACCAGTTAGCCCCAGCAACAGATCAAACAGCAGGACAAATGCCAATCTGATGGAGCCCTAAGAGTGACAAGACTAAAAACACAAAAGATCTTGCAATATAGCAAGGAGTAATTTGAAGAAAATCAATTATACGTTCCAAGTGATTCCGGCAATCTCTCCATTTCTCTTTTCCCATTTGTCATATTTTCATACCTATGCCTACCTCTCTAGCCAAGTGACTCCTGCCTGCTTCCTAACTAGAACGAAAGGGCAGGTTCCTTGCCTCTATGCTTTATCAGAGCTACCTCAGGCTTTTGTACCAGTGAAGGGGAGAAGGGAGAAAGAAAATGAGGGTATTTAATTCATTCATTCATTCATTCGATTTTTACCCCGCCCCTCTAGACAACGTCTACTCGAGGGTGAGCTAGTAAGTCAGCTGCATGGCTTTGAAAGCAGACACAGAAGCAGTTAACATTTCTAATTTGGGAGCAGGGTATGTGTTGCTGTTCCTCAGATGCATCATGATGGAGGGGATAAACAGGACAACGGAGGGGCAGCATCTGACTGAATGCCTCTGTATGGGTACCCAGTTCCATCCTGATTCTGCCTAAGACCCTGAATGTGCCCAACATTAACTCCTCTGATTTCTACCCCAACAACAACAAAAAGCACCTGTCACCACTGATTTAGAAATGGCCCAGTACACAGTGAGCCAAATCGCATCACAAATGTCAGATTCTATTTGTTCCTTGGGTTTTCATACTTGCTGAGTCAATTTTTTATTGTTGCTATATCCCAAATGTTTTGTACCTTCTATTAACCCATAAATAAGTAATTAAATAAATAAATAAAATAAAAGTAAGTCCTCATTCAGAATGTCATTATTTGAGAAAACAGATATGCTCAGTGCCACTAATTCAGGAAACAATACAAGGTGCCTTGCAAAAAAAAATTATTTCCCATTATGTTAACTGCCCAGATTTATTCTCCACCAGGCAGTGTTACCATAGATAGTGGTAATGGTCCTGGGTTCCCAGCATTTCTTCAACAATTGACTGTATGAGATCCCAATTATGTAGCCTATGGCTTTGTCATGTCCCCCCCCCCCAGTGTCCCTTGTTTGTTCTCCCCAAACTCTGGTCCACCCTCTGGATGAGTTTCCTCTTTTTACGCTGCCACCAGTAGATCTAGTTCACACTACACCAAATATAGGCATCTCAGACATGTTCTGCCCATACAAAAGGTTTATTGATCTTTTAGTTGGTAAGTAAATCACAGATGTAAATCACAGTTGTTAAGGGTCATTCATTAAATTGGGTTTGATTATATGTTTGCTTGTATGTGCTTTTATTCACAATAACCGCGTTGGCAATGTTCTCTATTCCTTTTAACTCTTTCCTATTCTCTATAACACTCCAACTTTCCACTCTCAGTATTAACTCCCTCAATTCAATGTACTATAACTCTCTCACTTCCATTCCCTATCTCTCCTTCTCTCTGTCACTTTAACCCCGCCCCTCCTGTCCTATCATAGGCTCCTGCACTTGAGCTCCATATGATGGACAGGAGTGATGTGTGCATTCCACCACAGGCTTCTAACTTAAATGCTCGAAGGGTGTCCAGTTGTTGACACATTTTGACATTTGTGGCCCAACAGCTCCTGAAATTAATGGGCTGGGCCTGCCTAAATCTGCATAAGGCCAAATATGCATCACAGTGGGACCATTGAACATAATAGCATAGGGTGGCACACCACACATAGCCCCTTCCATGTTGGGGGAGGTTGGTTTTTCTAGCAGACATATAAGCAGCCCAAGGCCATGCCAGGGATTTTTTGTTGTTGTTACAAGATGCGATATGACATATCACAACACAAATGTATGTGAGTTTCCCTACTCTTTAACATTAAAAGCTTTTCATGAGAACTTAAAGAGACCTGGTTTCTATTGTACTACTGTTCTTCATCTATGGGAATGTATTCAAAAATATAATGCATGATCTATAGTTTGGAGTGCTGGACTCCCTTGTTCCGTTATGTGTACACTAGACTTCTGTCTGTAACTTCTGCCTCTCGCTGGTTGAGCTTTATACCTGGGATGGGCAGAGGATAAAGCTGAACAAAGGACCCAAGTCGTCCTTCTGCCTGGAGTAGGACAAGTAATAATGATCCCCCCCTCTGACGAGATGACAGAGAACACAGAAGTCACCAGAGTGTACATCTGCTGGGCTTCTCAGTCAAGGGAGTCTCTTCAGAGTAAGAGGTTGCACAGGCAGCTGCTTTGTAGAGACCTGCTGTATCAACTGCTCTCTTGCTGCAGTATTTACCAAAGAATAACAATAGTACTGGCAGGGCTATTCAATGCAGACACTGCAGTTGTGACTCACATTTTGTCACCCTGTCCTAATCCCTATTAGAGGCTGGGACTTCATGGGATGATTGCCCTCATAGGTTTGGATCTATTGTTAGACGTGTTGGTGATTTTCAGTAGATCAGCGAGGATTTTTGATTTCTAATTGTGAATAACTATAGCAACTAAATTACTCTGCAACTCATCTCCTAAATTATCTTGTTGAACTGGATTTTTGTTTGAAGATCTGAAGCTAGTCTGCACATGTAGGAAAGAGTACACTATACAGCTGAGGTGGTAGATCACATTTTGGACTCTGTCACAAATAAAATGCTGAGTATAAAAACAAATAAGTAAGGAAGGGTTTTCTCAAGCCAGCTTTTAATTCCCCCTCCCCCTTTTCTCTTTTACTGATTGTAGGTAAGCCATGTGCTTTTGTGGCTGAGGAGGTTTCTTTATTTTATTTTAAAGTAATAATTATGTGATCTGCTATCTCATCTGCTATCTTATTCAGCTGCATGTACAGGTCTTTGCTTAATTTCAGTATTTATTTATCATCTACATACCGGTATATGTAGGAAGTTAACAATTAGTCAGGTAAGCTCGGTCCAAAGTTTATAGAGCTTGAGAACTTAATACTATAATCTTAAACTGGACCATGTTGGCTGCTAACAAATAAAACTACAGATGGAGAAATCTTGCAAGCCACTGCCCCCGCCCCCAACACAACCGAACACTGAAACACACTTTATTGGAAATAATATGAATTGGGTGGGGTTGACACCATGGCCTGATTTTGTACTGGCTTTGTTTTTAGAACTTCACTCCTACATTAATGTTTACTGCTATAGAGCCAGATATTTGTAGGAAGGATTTTAGCTGGAATATGTTATAATCAAATTGTTGTGGCTGTAAACAGGCAGCAAGAGAGGTGCTAGCAATGAAGGTGAGTGTTCTTTCAGAGTTGCTATTAAAATACGGTGTTCTGATAATGCACTGTAATATTTTATGTACCTTATATTGTTTTTATTTTACCTGAAATTATTGTTTAGTTAAATGCCCCCCCCCCCCCCTTTCAAGTGCTTTGTACTTTGACAAGTTGGTATTGTGCACCATTTTGGCCAGTTTCTGGTGGATAATTTGTGCTTAGCTTTACTTTACTTTACTTCTCCAGTACAATTTTTTTTGAGGTAGCAACAAGACCTGCACAAAGTATTTGAAGTTCAGTTATATTGCTGATTTATTTAAACTATTTATCAATTTATTTATTTTATTTATACCCCGCCCATCTAGACCAAAGTCTACTCTGGACGGCTAACAACAATCCAAATAAAATAAAACAACAACATTAATACAATTGAAGATGGCAATAAATAAATTAGGTATTGACAGGAAGGAAGGCCTGCCTAAAGAGCCAGGTCTTGAGTTTGCTCTTAAAATCACTGTG